GAACCTATGAATATGGGCACACAGTAACAGAGAGAAATGGCTTACCCACAACCAAGACATGTCGATACACGATGAGGGCCACTTCTAGGTCACATCAACCCCGCCGTACACGCGCTGTAGGAAGGTACTTAGGCGGTTTAAGGAGAGGCAACGGGTTCACAAAGAGAACTTACCCGCGGAGAGTTATAGTAGACGGCATGCCACCATTCAGAAGCATGTGAGGGCTGTGTAAGGGACTTAGTCGTGATACGAGGGAGAGGGGGGATGAGCGACGATGTCGAACTGCGGCGCGCTTTTAAGTCAAGTTCAAAGTCCGTCATGTTGAACTTAGCACGTGAGGCGACGCGCATCAGTCAGGCGCTGGTGGTTGCTCTGTTGCTAAGGGTATATATATAGAATGATAAGATAATCCTCTGGTAAGCGTATCTCAACAGGCGGTTGGCTTATCATAAATACAAGTCTGGTATTCGGCTGGTAATGCGATTGTAGACGTGCTAAAATAACTGGAATAAGTGCCAGCCACTACCAGCCGCGGGACAATTTGCTGATGACGGCGTTGACGCCCGCGGCGACGAAAATGGTGCCGATGACACTTGCGGCGACCCTTAGTACGGAGGATCGAGACAAAGACATGCTAAGTAGCTGGCAAATCATATACAAGTAGATCCCTCAAGGTCAAGGAAGGCTCAAATAGTAATAGCGCGGATAGGAATATACGTACCCTGCAAAATGTAGGTCGAATCGGACTGGACTCTACGTTGCTGCAAGCTGGGTACTCTGAGTCAACCAGAAGAGCGGGCTTTGGCCGTGCTTGGACGATGGAGCGGAGCAGGATATAATCTCAACATGAGTTCAGCCTGTATGTACGCGGTGGAATTGCTGACGGGAGCGCCTTGCTCGTCCTGTTTCCTATTTAGGGAGAACGTAAACGCTTCGATGCAGTATTGGATGATTCAATGAAGGACGACCCACCACGGTCACAAATGACTCGTTTTCTTCGTGTAAAGCTGATGTCAGGGTGGGAGGGCGAAGAAATGCCATGGCCAAGCGCTTGTCCCTCACGATTCAGATGAGTGCGACCCACTGGCGGATTTTTGCATGTTGCATCCGAGAGCCACACGGTATATACTGTATATCTGCTGAACACAACGTATTGCAACTGCGTCATTCACGGTACGTCGTACCCGTATGCTTCATTTTCAAGCTCCCTTCAGGTCGCCGGCATGATCTACGAGCAGCGAGGCCTGCCAGTGGGCTAGCGCTCACCTCTTTGGTGGAATGCTTGAGGGATCATCTAGAGAGGACGTGGTCTATTGTCTATTCACTTTTCTGCCTCTGGTCTTGGGCAGGACGGATCATAAGAAATCTTCACTCTGAAATTCTTGAAGATCGCCATCCACACACTGGCCATACTCATACTGGCGCATCTCTTGTACTGATGCGACATAGTTAACGTGTCGTACGGTCTCCACGACGCGAAACTGTCGTTCTTGATGCCCCGAGATTGTCGGCCTCCACGTAGCCTTCCAAGTGTCTCTCCACGTCGCCTGTCCTGAACGGCTATTCATCGCATCTAATCCGTTATGCCCGCCCCTCATAGCATGATTCAGCAACGTTCAATGCCTCCTCTCCCCATCTGGAGCCGTTCGCTCGCCGTTGGAGTGTCCGACTCTTCCCGCTGCACGCTATGAGTGTGCTTTTGCGCCTTTCTTACACCTGTGCAGCACAGCTAGCTACAGGTGAGTGGTCTCTGGAATTCCCCAGTAAGCCTGAGTCACTCTGATCGCCACCATCTCGCAGATTCACTGCCTAGGCTGCCCGGGTAGCAGCATTGCGTCCTATGATTCGCGGTAGTGCGACAGTCCGACTGAGGTGGACCTCTTAGTGAAGCCGTTGTCCTGAAAACAGATTGGGTTCTACGTCCGCCGCGTACTAGCGCGTACATGCTGCTTTGGTGGTCCTCCATTCATATTCAGCTGTGACTCGATCCGAAATGGGTCGATACACAGCCTGCGATGGTGAGTGACGTCACAATCTTACCAACCAGCAGTATCCCAGGGAAACAGGACTAAGACTGGTGGCCTGCCTGTCAGGGAAATGATACTATGAGGACGCATCCCGTCAACTTCGGCGTCACTCAAGCCAGACAGAATTCCGGTGATCAGCGTCTCTGTGCCTGTGCTGAGCGAGAGTCAGGCGTCTGACTCGCAAGTTCCCGCCACATGTCTCTGGCTGCACGGACAACGAAAGGTCAGCCGCATGTCTGTGTACTGCTGAATGGTCGGCACAACACTTTGGTTCTAGCTCAGTGCCATGCTAACTGCGACCGTACTTCAAGAGCCAAAAGAACACCGAGGCGATAGTCAGCACCATGTCAGGCGCAAGGCCCGACGAAGCCTTTACCGAACTCAGCGTTTTCGTGAAACCCGGGGCGTATATTTAGCATCTCTGCCTCCGAGCGCACGACATCACCGAGGGAGTGGTTTCGGCGCGTCCTGACCAATCACATCTCACAGCGCCAGTCGCCCGGGATCCCCAGCCAATCGCGGCGAGGCTTCTTCCGCTCTCCCCCCACTCGGGGTTCGCGTCCTGACGTCTCGAGGAATCTCTGCCTAGATCGATTGTCTGAATTTCAGGTCATGAGCGCCGTATGCTGTAACATTCCTGATGCTCGAACCCGTCTGCTTGGTACGGGACCTGTTTTGTATATAAGCCCGACGGGATGCATGTTTATTCCCCGGTCACCCTCCACCTCGCAGTCCAGGGAACCTCTACGGCTTTGACGAAGTCGACGTCTACTTGAGACCACGATGCTGTTTTTCGCTCCCCTCCTCGTCGGTCTTATTGGTGCGAGCTCGGTGTTCGGTGCTCCGGTGAAGCGTACTGATACTCAGAACATCACTGGTATGTACGTCTCTCTCCCTGACCAAGTATGAATTAGGCTTGAATGAGCCGATCATGCTAGACATATCCGTTCTCCAATACGCTTTGACATTGGAGCACATTGAAAACGCCTTTTACGTCTCCGGTCTTACGAAATATGATGAACAGGCGTTCCTCGACGCTGGCTTCCCTGCCTGGGTTCGTGGGCGCATCCAACAAATCGGAGACCACGAGGCAGATCATGTCGCCTTCTTGACTGCTGCTATTGAAGCGAACGGGGTCAACGCGACGCAGGCATGCAATTACAGCTAGTGAGGGACTTCCGTTCCATGAATTTGTATTTGTGCTTATTATTGGTGGTTGTCAAGCCCATACACTGACGTTGCGTCTTTCGTCACGATGTCCGCGTCCATAGAGGGTGTGGGTACCGCTGCGTACTTGGGATCAGCCCACTACCTGACCAGCAAGACCAACCTGAATGCCGCTGGCGTACGTACTCAGTCAAAATTGCAATGTGTTATTTCCGTCTGATCGAAGCCCCTTCTCTTCTCTTCCATTATACAGGCTATTTTAGCCACCGAAGCCCGCCAGGCCTCGTGGCTCTCTTCCGCCGCGCTGAAAGGAAGCCCCTGGTCAACAGACTTCCAGACTCCATTGGAGCCCTCCGGCGTGTATTCCATCGCTTCCCAGTTCATCGTTCCCGGCTCGTGCCCATCCACCAACCCGGCCCTGTTCGTGAAGCCCTTCCCTGCGGCCACAGTCACCCCCGCGACCCCCACGCCCGGCTCGCAGATCACCGTGTCCCTCCCAGAGGGCTACGTCGGTCCCTCGAACACGAGCACCCCGCTGTACATGGCATACTACTCGGGCTTGAACGTCTACAGCTCGGAAATCGACTCGAATGGCACGACAACAATCCCGGAGGGCTTGGTGGGCATCGTGTTCGCTGCGGTTGTCAACGAGGAGCCGAGCCCCGTGAACCCGCCCACGGATGACACCACTTTGAGCGGCTTGGTTAACTGGGACTTCGGTGTCCCCAGCAACTCCAGGCAGATCTTCAACACTACCATTCCTCCTTATAATTGATATCGTACCTCAGCATAATAGGAGACATGGATGAGGTCGAGACACTCCATTGTCACGGACTTATATGAATCAAACATTACTTGGACGTTACAATGAATGGACAATGTTGTTACCAGGGAGCCTGGCTATAGTGATTTATTCCAGGGACCAATGCGATAGACGTGAAGACTGGAAGGCTCAGGTAATGCGCGTGCTCTGACAAAGAAGTCGAAAGATAGTATGAAGCCACGCACATAAGATCCATATAAATACAGGACAAGGCCCGTAGTCGTAGGAACAGACGTAGTGCCTGTGTAGCACCTCATGCAGTCAATGGCTGAGATATCTTCCTTACCGTTCTTTTCAGGAAAAAATGTAAGTAGCCAGTTCCATTCCGGTCATCATATTGTTTCACTGGCGGCTACCAAGTACATCTCTTCATGTTCCGTGAGTATTGCCTACCATCCCCTCTTCTTGAAATCCTCCAAAGAATCCTTAGTACACTGCTCTTTGCTTATATACTTATCAAGACCCAGGACCTTCGCGGCCTTACTCGTATCGTAGCTGATCATATGCGTCACTCCGGGCCCGTAACCGGCGCCCGGCGTGCCTTTGGAAAGGGCAGACTCAGGATAGACACCTGCTTCATGCGCAGCGTCGACTAAGGGCCAGATAATCAGGTTCGGTAGGGTGCAGGCCAAGGAAGGGAAGAGAGCGCACCAAAGTCCTGCCACTTGAATGTGCCTTGAGAAACGATGAACCGGTTTCCCCCTGCCTCTTGTGTTTCGATGGCTAAGACGTGAGCAAGCGCGAGGTCTCGGACGTCGATCCAGCAATTCCCTGTTCATAACGCAGTTCAGCCAAATTGTAATAATAACGCAATTGAGTTCGCACCTAGAGTAGCAAGTGTCTTCTCGTCCTTGGCCCCTTTGAGCAATGTATTGTAAAACTCAGCCATCGACGTGTTGATCTGATCGGGTCCTGGTACATCATGGATGATGGGCTTCAGAAATACAGCATACGGTCGGAATCAGCGAGGTAAAACTCGAGAGTTGGAATTGACTTACGCCGAAGACCTATTACAATCGTCATCAGTGACAACGTCCAGTCTGATTGATATGGACTAACATAAGGAGGGTTCAGTACGACCAGGTCCCACCCGATTGATCCCTTGTTCTTTTCGACAAATTCCCAAGCGGCTGTAAGGTTTCCGACGCTAAGTAAGATAACGCGATAGCGCTGACAAGGGTTCATACCCTTCTCAGCTAGGGTCTTGCTGGCGCGATACTTGTTCATAACCAGAGCATCCCGACCCTTCTCTTCCACTTCTTTGAGAGCTTGCTGATTCCAGTCCTTCTCCGTGAAGACTCTGGGGCTGGTAGGAATCTCGAGTACGGCAGCGCAGGACGACGTCACGACGATGCGCTTCACATTGCTTCTACGTCCCGTGTCAATAATATCGTCCAGGGCCAGAGCGGGATACTCACCCGTACTTGAGAGCGCTCTGGAGCACTCCTGTGGTGCCTTTGACCGCTGGCTCGATGAACTCTGCGGCGACAGCTGGTGATTTGCTACTGGAATGCGGTAGTGCGAGAGAGCGTACCATTGGGATCGTCGCAGTTGAGATGAAATGGTGACGCTGTATGTTCAATGGCATCCACACCCTTGACAGCCTCGTCAAATGCACCTTCCTATGGTCGTGGCTTTCTGTCAGCCTACTGTTAAGCACCGCTTCGTACGGCTCCAGAATACCTTCGTAATGTCTTCAACGACCACAACCTCGTGTTTATCACCGTACGTGCTAAAGAGATGCCTCAAGTACGTTGCCTTGGACTCTGATCGCACGGTTCCTCGGACTGCATACCCCTTCTCGAGGAGACGACGCACAACCCAGATGGCAATGTATCCATTCGCTCCCGTAACAAGGACTTTGCTTGGAGGTGCTACGGCCGGCATGGTGGACGGTGGACGGTGGGCAGGGGCATGAGGGTTTCTCTAGCTATTTATCGTTCCTCTTCCATGGCAGGAGGATGAACCATAAGTCCCTGACTAAGGTCGCAAGCTCGTGATGACATAGTCGATTCTTCTGAGACAATCTGGGAAGATTTTTAGTATACTTAGCATCCATGCGCATGTGAACACACTGGCAGCGCTTCGGAACGGCGTTCCAGCGCTGTGTTCGTCCGAGATAAGTGCACTGCCACTGGCACAATCGCGAGACGCAGCGCTAACAAGGACAACCTTGAATGCTTGAATCGGAATCTCTCACAAGTTCTCAACGTCTTTAATTCTCTTGCTAAGTACCTGGTCTTCTTCTTGAAGAGGTGCCACCTCTTCAAGAAGAAGAGTGTCCACAGGTTTTCAAGCGGACGATACTTATGTCCGGCATGATCGCGAGGCACACTACATGTAGACTCCTGATAGCCAGACTGACCACGCCGTCTAGTACACAAGGAGCACGTACCCTTGGAGACGTATCACCCTCACACAAACTACCTTTTCCAACGAACGATTATGCTGCGTAAATTGGGTTGCGATTCGCGTGATCGCAGGACCGCCTCGCAAGAATACCACTTGTAAGCATCCCGTCGAGGAGTTGGCCTTTTGTATCCCCCTCCCGATGGCGTGGATCGATGCGAGCATTCCATGAACCCCATGCAACCCAGCTCGTATCGTTGGATGAACTCTCCAGCGCCCGCTGACGTTGAGTTAGATTTTAATATTGGTTGGAGTCAGATACACAGGCGGCGAGGACGGCGAGTAATATTTGTCAAGCGAAGGGGGGGACTCGGAGCCGGCTGGTCAAACTCAACTCCAATAGCACAATAGGAATCCCCAGGTTCTAGTGCCTGCAGTGCTGGGATTGCGTTGGCTGCTGTGGTAAATATTCTCGGAGGCCGAGGCCTGTGAACTCGATGGGGGACACTACCTGGAACGGCCCTTCCTACATATATAGCGACCCCAGGCAGAGTTTCAAGGCTATCATGCCTCCTGACACATGATACGTCACTACCGAGCCATAATCTGCGACGGAGATGGAGTCGAGACGCTCCAAGGTTGCGGGGTATAAGACTTATTACTTGGATGCTATGATATGATCAAAAAACACGATTAAGCATTATATTCCAAACCAAGTACAGCATATTACCACCCATCCAGAGCCAGAGTCAAGGCCGAATGTTATTACCAGAAAGGCTGATCAGCAGAAGACATGAGCAATAGAAAGCTAGACCCGTCCCTAATGCTAGGATCCTACGATACCACGTTGACGCTGCAGAATCATTCCTCGGACAGTGTTTTGCGAAGGTCCTCCCAATCGGGCAGACCAAAATAACTAGGCAGGTTATCCCACACGTCCTCCCGGAGTTCCGTGAAAAGCTCCTCTGCACCTTCGTTGCACGTCGTGCAAGCTACGCTGTCCATTTCGTCACCCTTCAGGATGTCGTAGAAGTGATCGTCCCAGTCGCCCTCCTCCGTCACGCGCCAGCGATATAACGCGTTCCGGCAAGACATTTCGCGGCACCTGTTCGCCTTCTTGAAGAAGTCGCGCGAGTTCAGGGTGCTACGACAGGCTGCCTTTATCTTTCCTTGGCCATGACGCAGGTGAGGATCCATTGTAATGGCAGCCACGGGGCGGCGACTGGGTCGGAAGTACCGCTAGGCGGCGCGGCCTTGAATCCATTGAGCAGTGAGCTGGTAGGATACCGCATGCAGCAGCAGTAGAGGGATGCCGGGAGAATTGTCGTGATATTGCACGTTAGTGCCATGTAGGCTGCCATGAAGTCGCCGTCCGTGAAGAGATGTGCAACGGGGGATGATGCACGGTTTTCCCAAGCTTCGAGTGTTGAAGGATAGTACGAGGTGAGAAGGGATATGATGCGAGAACGGAGTACGGCGGCATTATATTTTGTGGCGAGACGAAGGACAGAGATGATAAATGGTCGGCTGGTCGTCGAAGCCTGTTCAAAATAGCTACATGTCGGCAAAATTAAGTAGAAGCGGGGGAGAGGAGTGTAGCTGGGTATCCACTTACCCGGGTTTGAAGATGGCAAGCAGAAAATGGATCATCTCGGAAGCATGGTCATGCAGGGCAACAAGGGGACATTCTTCGTATGAGTCGATTTCATCGGGCTGGGGTATTGCAAACATGTCTCGGAACGTAGAAGAATGCTCAGCGAGCACACCGCGATATACGCGGAAGAGGGTATTCCCGACTTGGAGAACAATTGTTCCATCCTCGTACCACAGGTCTTCGTATTTCTGAAGTCCTTGCTGTGCAATCATCTCGTGTGATGAACGGGTGAGGCGTTAATTCGCAATCGCGACCAGGACGCGAATGGTGACGAGTCACGTGTGTGTGACAACTCGCGTCGAGTCGCATCCCCTCTAGTGATACATAGCCGTCCGGTACGTGCATGGGATCCCAATTTTTGAGTACAGCTACGACAGAACCTGATAACAGCTTTTGCAGCGCGGCGTATGAGCATAACGAAGTGAAGCTCCGTCTGGCCTGCATCTTATCCCTCCTCAGTCCTTTGCGGGATGGGGCACACTATCGCAGAGGTCATATTGATTGTAAACAGGGCATGGAAGAACTATATAGCTTCATATTCTGAATTCAGTCAAGTGCGCTGGTCAGCCTCAACAAGGTCCATTGATCGAGCAAGGTAGCTGCACGTGGCATTGGAAAACGACCGATAAGACTCCCCGTCCAGCAGTCGGAGAGGCTGAGAGCTTTCCGTAATCCTGCCGTCGATTACCGAACACTCTTCCCTTCCGATAGGTCGGAGGTCCGCAGGTGCGCCTCCGCCCGCGCTTGTGCAACAGACTCTCTCCGAACGGAGAACAGAATCTGCGGCACAAGCGAGGAGAGAGCGGCGGACATGTGGAAAAGTGATAGCAACGCATCACAGAGGGCCTCGGACAGTGGTCATGGAAGCTTCAGCCAGCGCTGGATGTGACCTGGGATCTTGGGGCGGTATACTGTGCTCGTTCAGAGCCGGCCCTCAATCCGCTACCTTCAAGAGGAGACACGAGTATCAAAGTCGGCCACGAGCATCTTAATAGGACTCATCTCATGCTAATGACGTTTCAGGCCGCCCGGGTACGAGCGAAGGACGCGTGTACCCACACCCACCCACCAAGGAGCTTCGAGCACATCGAAGTCTTTATTGGTGCAAAGCTCAAGATGGCGAGAACCCGTCCGCCGCGGACACCTTAGCGACACGCAGCCCCGGTACACCCAGGGAAGCGCCTTCACCTAACATAATTGAGAGAATCTTGCATACGGACAGGGACAGACCACGTGAGGAGGAGACTGTGGGGCACCGATGCCGCCCGCCCGTAATCGCCTAGGTGCTTCGGCGCGATATGCACCCGGACGATTACGGTAGAGCCGGGGGGGGGGGGCGCGAACAGACAAGTCCAGCAGGCAAACACACTACGCACCATTCCTCCTCGGGTCGCGGCACTGCCGCCCCGCTGCTTGTTCAATGCTCAGAATTGCGAAATGCGATTGGGTATATGCTCGGTGGGGATAGGACGCACGTGTGGCGTCCGACCATCGCCTAGGAATATCGTGTCCGTATCCTCATGAGAGGGGTCAGCGGGGAGAGGGCGGCTGTCGTCAGCAGCAGCGAGTACCGGGCCGCGCATCGACTCAGCGACGCACAGCATCAACACGTACACTCGGCCCATCCTGCAACAAGACACTCACCCGTGATGGTCAGAGGACGTAGAGACGTCGACGCTCTGTGATCCATTCAGGATATGTCCCTGATGACAAGTATGCCAGAGGATTGTCGTATCTGCGCGCCCGAGGGCACGAGCAAGAAAGTCGTGCGTCTATGTTTGTTCCATTGGGTGGCGAGGATTGCCCGGAGCGCGAGAGAGGTGGATACGGAGAGGTGGCACGGACACTCGGGGTAAGCCTGGACGATTATTCACGCGACGCACGCATACAACCCTCTTGTTGGGCGCCCATGACAGGGGTGGATCTGGAACATTGCCTATAGACGCGATACTTCGTAAGAGTCGAAGGACCAGGGATCGTGGCAAGACTCACCATTTGCCCTAATGTCTTGAGCGCATACGGCCCCGCGAATCTCCGCGCGCCGAGGACACTCGGCACCGCCCACCCGTGACGACGGAAAAGCATGGATAAGATCAGGCTTCCCCCCGTCACGTACCAGCCCCTTGCTCGTTCGACAGCAACTACGCAACCAATCACGGACAAGTACTCACCGCGCGGCCCCACCACCCCAGGACCCGCCAGAATCGGAGACTCGTGAGGAGGGAGGTCGCGACGGCGAGGACGGTTACATTGACGGTCATTGCCGAGGGCCGGACAAGGACGCACCCACCAGCCTACAGGTGGACTATCACCCTGCCTTGCTCCCAAGGGCAGGTCGGCGTGTCAGTATTGTGAAGGAACGTACCCACACAGTATCCCGCCTTAGAGGTGGGACATCGAAGCGACGTGGCGCACCCACCGCCCGGCCCCTTGGCCAACACGCACTGAGAGTCCAGTGAGAGCTGACCCAAGAGGTCAGAGCGGCGCGGACGCGTGCGCATCCTACCGCCTACGTCCAGACGCCGTGTCGCCACTCATCGCATCAGTCAAAGATGAAGAGAGCAGTGATACGGCGGGTATGTATGTACGGACCGAGCGCGGAATCAGGGCGTAGAGGGCGATTGCATGCAGCCAGCGTGTTCCTCTCCGAGACCGACGCAAGGGACAAGTGGCGGGCGTTGCACCAGCTCCTCGTTCGTGTGGTCGGGACGCCTCGAAGGGAAAGCGCGCCCGCCACGCGCTGCCGCGCTGAGAAAGTAACATCGCGAATGACGATTCTTCCAGAACAGGGAGGGCGCGTAGACGCCTCACATCGCTGCGCCGCGCCGTACAGAAAGTACTTCTCAAAACAATGTCGCGGCATTCGCAGACAGCAGGAGTGCGCGTACCGACCCCCGCACCCAGGCGGGGCGTTTCGGCAGTCACGGGAGGGTGGGCGGTGGCAGCGAGCATACCGGGACGGGGAGACAAAGAGCTCGCCTCTGGGGAGGGGGACGTCTTTAAACAGCTTAACAGCCGTCGATGACACCAGCACGACGAACCCCCGGAAAATTGGCACGTCTCCGCGAACCGCTCCCTGTCGTGCGTGGGCGCGTGGCATTTCTGGAAAGCAACCGCGAGGTTCCCGTCGTTGAACCCTTCTGTGCAAATTGGGCAAAATTGAGCATCCGACGAACCGGGAAGGCGATCAGGAAGCGACTCAGCGCGCGCGCGTGAATCAAAACCTCACCAGCAACGAATACTGGTTTGATTTCGACCCACGAGGCGGGAGAGTCACTCAGACTCTGAGACTCAGAGCCTGGCGGAGTCAGGACATGTTGGTGGCACGGTACGTGGGGAGGTGCCAGAGATCGACGGGACCGGGGAGGCGGGATATAACCAGATAAAAACAATGGGGGGACAAGCACAAAGGGAAGTACGCATGTGTTTCGTGCACAGCGGAACTGCGCGAGTCGTACAGACAAAGAGAGGCATGTGATGTCATCTGTCCAGAGTAAGTCTACATCGCACCATACCAGCCAACACTTCAAGCCCGCAGTTTACGGGGAGCTCCCGAATACGCCGAGAGGGGGGCAGAGACGAGGGCATCGGGCGAACGGGCTGGGTGAGGGAACCGCTCGCGATCAGCTCCAGTGACACCAGCTTGAGACTACTTACGCACCGTCGAACCCTCTGACAAGCGGTACCTCTCACCGACCACTCCCATTCGGCCCTAAGGCCTAGCAAACGGGATTGCGGAACGTACGAGTGGCATCCCCCAATTGCAAGGAACAACGGCGTCCCGGCCAGTCGGGGGAGCTCGCATCTCCCCACAATCCCACTGTGGAGTATTGGAAACTGTGATATCCAACGAGCCCCGAGTAAATGAGTCAAACCTCTCCAGCGTGACTGCTGGCTTGACGTCGGCGCGCAAGTGCAGGAATCACCGAGAGCTACACGACAAACGCGACCGATCCGGAGAGGGTGGCAGAGATGGAGTGAAAGCAGCTGGACGGGCTCGGAGTTGTCGAGTAGGGCGACGCAGGAGCATGCAGAACAGCCGGACCGACCACATATTAATGAGACCACCTCCACAAAGGAAGACAATATCGACCGATCAGATACGACGGTTGTATCGCGCTTGTACTAGTTGTATAGAGCTCGGTGAATTACTCTCCGCTGGGTTCTCGACAGCGTTATCAACGTTATTAACAAAAATTGTAGTTATTAACATGTAATTAACATTGTCAATAACCGAAAGGCCACATTTGGCCACATTCCGTGTCCTCGACAATACATTCGAGTCGGTGCTCGTAAAACACATCCCTAAGACCTCAATAAATGTAGAGACATGTTCTCTTTGGAGCACTTGAAAGCCTTCGTAGGAGCAGTACTGTGAGGAACAAGTCATCGAGCAGCGTGAGAGACCAGGCTTAGCACACGACGAAAACAACCTCATTGCCTGCACAGTAGGTGGCATAACTGTCTCGTCCTCCGTAGAGTGGCTTGTAGTCGCTCACGAAACACCAGATACACCCCGACACTGCCCAGAGTCTCCTTGGACGACCATATCCCGAATACCCGGTTCAGGGTAATTAACCAAGGGAAATCCGACCCTGAGATATTGACAAGTAATTAACCTGTTAATTACAGCTTGTGATTAACCGCTGCCAAGAACTCAGGTCACTGAGCTCTATAGTTGTAGTAAAGACAAGCCAAATCACCCATCTGGTTCAAGACACAGAGAAGGGTAAAACGAAATTCCATTACACTCCCTCCAAACTCTCGTGTACAAATACTCGTAAGCTACTTCATCGGGGTATTCAGAAACATAGGTGTACATGTACAAGGCCGCACAAAAATACAATAGTAAAGGAGGGAGACCAAGAATTAGCGATTATCAAAGAGGGAGCGCCGTCGTAAGGAGACATATCGTAACAAGTCGTAAATCATGCAACGTACGCGGGCAGGCGCTCGGCGAAAGAGAAAGATCTTGCAGCGCGCCCTCGAGGTAGGACCAATTACACGATGTTGAACCTGGTAACAAGCGCGTCAGCACCTCATCGCGATCCCAAGTAAAGCAAAGTAAGACTCACGCATCGCTCCTCCAATCCTTCCCACTGACAGCAGCCTCGCTCCTCTCCTGCGTGCGGTTCACCCACCCAGCAGGGTGCCCTCCCTCGGGGATCAACACACTGTCCCGCTTGCTCACCACCTTAAACTGACTCCCCCGCTCCTCCTTCTTACTCTCCGCCTTGCTCGCCTTGTCCTTCGCCTCCTCCTGCTTGCTCTGGAACAGCTCCTGCAGCGCCTGCGTCCGGCTCTTCTCGTCGCTCGCCTTCGCGTCCTGGTACCGGTCCCGCACGCTCACCAGCTGCCCGTCCACGTACTCCAAGCCCGTCTTCAGCGCACCCTCCAACGCCTTCTGGATCTGCTTCTTCACGAGGCCCGTCGCCAGCGGCCGCAGCGTCTTGTACAGCATATCGTGCTTGCTGTCCCGGATCGAGAACTTCAGCGTGTCCACCTTCACGTTCACGTCCTTCACCTTGAACACGCTGCTCCGGTCCTTGTTGCTGCCGACCAGGTGAATCGTCGCCGTCAGGCCGCTGCCGCCGAGCAGCACGTCCGCAAGCCCGCTGTCCGTCAACTTCGGGATACCCGTCTTCTTCCGGAAGTAGAACGCAACGTCCCGCATGTCCGCCTGGATCTGCCCAAGCGTGAGCGTGAACTCGTGGTGCATCTCGTCCGCGATCGCGTTGTACGGCGAGAACTTCATGTGGTTGTGCGCCTCCAGCGTGACATAGTTCGGGAACACGTTCCGGCCCGAGAGCGTCAGATTCTCGATAACAAGATCCAGCTCCTTGTCCGTGTACTCGATGCGCGGAATCGGGATGTAGCCGACCTGATCGACCAACGTCGGCAGGATGACCTTGCGCACGTCGTTCCACAACTCGGGCTTGTACTTGAGACTACCCTCGCTGTCGAACAGCAGGTCGCGAGTAAGACGGGCCCAGTCATTGCCGAACCTACAACGCAACGTCAGCGACCTATCCCACACCTAGACAACCAATAGGCACCCACCTCTTGTTAAGCGGGTCATCGCCCATCGCGCGGAACCACCCGCTGATCGTGTTGAACAGGTTGTCAAAGTGGCCCTTGTACTTGTCGTCGTAGAACCGGCGGCCAGAGTCCTTGACCTCGTTGCCCTCGCGGTTGCACTGGGGCTCGATGACGAAGCCGGGCTCGAGCAGCACCTTGCGCACGTACGTGTCGACGCGCTGGAACCACTCGCGCAGCTCCTGGTCGTTGCGCGCGTCCTCGATGAGCGCGTTCACAGCGTCGATAATCGAGTCCATGCTCTTGAACATAGCAAGTCATCAACCTCTCGCGTCACTCATTCAGACCATTCGCAACACTTACCTGGTTGTTCGCGAACCGCTCCAGCAACGTTCTCAACTCGCTCGTGGCGGTCTTGATCGAGCCATCACCGGCGACCTGCTGTCCGTGGTCCTTGACGTTCTCGTGCGCCGTCTTGCCATGCTTAGCGTACTCCTCGACGAAGCTGAGCAACCACCGGACGCTCTCCTGGTAGTCATTGTGCTTCTGGCACTCAATGATGACCTTCTTGCCACGGAAAATGAACTGGTCGCGGCGCTCCTCCGGGAAGTATTCGTCCCTGAGGAACGTCTTACCGCGCTCGACCTGCTCGTTCGCGCGGTCCTTGTGTTGCTGCGGGATGCGGTCCACAAGGCCGTCCTAATGTCGTCATCAGTCCTCACGTCCCGCCATTGATGCAGACACAGAATCACTCACCCTCATACCGCGCATACGATCAACGAGACCCTGTTTCTTCTCCTTGGCCTCCTCCGTGTCGCTCGGGGTATCATTCACCTCCTTTTGAATTTCGTCCGCCTGCCTCTCCGCCTGGCCCTTCCCCTGTCTCCTCAGCTCCTCCATGCGCTCGCGGCCCTCACGCGCGGCCTGGTCGCCGGTCTTCTCCTCGCCGTTGACGAGCACCTTCGTGCCCGAGCCGGGCTCGTCGCGCGGGTGCTGCTTGATGGTCGCGTCCATGCCGGGCACCTTCGCCTCGAGCACGGGCGTCTCGTCGGGGCCGACCGTGCGCCCGCCCTCGGTGACGAACTGGTCGTTCGGCGCCGTGTCGTCGACCTGCCGCAGCCGCTCCTCGTCCGGCCCAATCTTCGACGCGGCCTTGGCGGCGCCCTTGGCGAGCAGGTCGCGCCCGATGACGGAAAAGTCGGAGAGCAGCTTGCGGACCTCCGAGTTGGTCAGCACGAGCGACAGCAGGGTGCGCAGGTGCTGGACGGCTGGGAGGGAGTCAGAGGGGGGTAGACACGAGAAAAATGCGTACTCACCCTGCTTCGAGTCATTTCTCGCCTTCTCCTGGTCGACAGGCAGGACCTCGTTCGGGTCCTTCTTCACCTGGTCCGCATTCACGTCGCGCGTGTGCCAGACAAAGTTCTGGAAGAGCTCGTCCGCATTCTTGTCCTGGACGATCACGCGCGCCGTCTCGATGATATCGCGCGTGTCCTGGATGAGCCGCTTGCCCTCGGGCGAGAGCGCGCTGGTATCAACGGGCTCGTGGTCGAGCACGTACTTGAGCGTGCGGTCGATCTGCTGGTTGTCGGGCAGGCGGCCCTGGCGGAAGGCCTCGATGACGCCGTACAGCCGCAGCTTGCGGTCGACATCCGCGTCCTTCTGCTGCTTGTTGACGGGGTCGACGACGGAGCCCTTTGCGGGGTGGTCCGAGATGTCTTTCGGGGCGGTCGGGAGCGACATTATTGGCTAGCGGTCGGTCGTCAACAGTCGTGTATGGGTGGTGGGGGTAGTACGGGAAAGCGGAAATCTGGAGTTGCAACGGACGAGACGCGCGCGTTAAGTAGGTGGAGGGCGGGCGTATGACGTTCGTGAGCGTCATCCTGCAGCGGTGAGCCACCTTGACACTTGCTGCCTGCATTTGGAGACGCGTTTGCCAAATCCTGGAGTGCTCCCGCCCATGACGTCACGCGAAGCTTAACCCTATCCCCAGATGACTGCCTTTTGCGGCGAGAAGACCGATCCGCGGAGCGAAGTTGCAGCGTACTCGGTCGTGGGAGCATGTATGCCCCTTGAGCGAAGTGTTCCGTAGGCAAACGGAGTGCCCGCCGTTCAAGTTGTGGCACCCCATTGAACTGACCGCTGACCACCGACATCATCACAGATGACCCAGGGAACTAATGAGATGAGGTACAGATCTAAGTATAATGCTTATATTTCGCGGGAGGACTGGGCACCGCACGACATGAAGTGTACATATGTGTGTTATTCTTCAGGCACATGTTCCGAGTGGGTCTCATATCTAGCATCCGTGGAAGACTGTGCATGTTAATGCGCCACAAAGACTCGGGCGAAGTCACCGCGCACACCGCACCTCGCCCCGCCTTGTCGCCTCACCACGCCATCGTCACTTTCCCACCGTCCCGTCGGAGCCGAGAGCGCAGTCGGTGCTGGTGTCGTCGCAGGCGTTGTGGAGCACCGCGAGCGGATCAGTCAGATATCGACTCTACTCGGAGCTTGACAACGCGTGTTTCCAAGAAGCTACAGTGTATGTCACTAAGAGTTGGCACCTCTGTGGCACCTTAATTATGCCGCCGTAGGCCGCGAGAAAAAAATTTGAAACATAAACCTGGCCAAAAGATGCGTAATCCTGCATTTTCATTTTTCTGGGTGCTTACGTAAGCATTCAAATATGGGGTCGCCGAACGTAACCTCATTTATTTGGGGGCCAGCTGCGTCCTGATCACTCCATATGGCTGTATAATACGAAAATGGGGGTCTCCGATGGAATTCCTGCGATAGGGAGTGTCCCATACGTCCAAAGCAAGTAGTGCCTTCACCCTAACCCTAGCCAGGCACGTGGCTCGGCTACCCTGGCCGTGATTACAAAGCTTCCCTTTATGGTAACTCCGCTACATCTCCGACCCAAATTCAAATACGTGAAGAATTAAATTCTCAAAAGTCGGAATTTCGAGAAAATAATCAGATGGTTCGAAAGCTCTCATGAAAAGGAATCGATTGGTCTGGTTTTCGGGACCTAAAAGCTTTTCCCCACGATCGTGATAGGATCCGCGGCTCGCCTATTGCCGAGTGGTCGGTTTTGAGCGCCTCACACTGTACTCGACGCTGAAAGCACGACGCCTGGGCTCTACTGTACTCGATCTGCTATGACCCGCTCGTACGCCATCGCCCTCTGCCCAGTCGCTGGACTACAATGGAATCAATTATGGCACAGGCACAGTGGATGGCGAGGGCGTACGCTCGACAGGTGACGTCAATCTGGCTGTTTGTTCCACTGTCAGGGAACCCTCGAGGTCGCGCCGCAGTCGACATCCGGCCTGTGCGTTCTCCACGAAATGCAATCCTCCCAACATTGATGAGGGTCGGCAACGTCTGCCAGCCAAATGTCCGTGTGCCACGAGCCGTTCTCCTCAGTCTGAGCTTTGACTGTATGACCTGTTTCCTGTTGGGCTCCTGTGCAACGAAGCCAAACTTCAATGCTTTATACTGCTAGTAAAATTTTTACAGTAGTACTGATGCAATGTATACAATGAAAATAATTTATTTACCACTAAAATGCGCAATATTCTAGTCATGAATCAGAATTCCTCTTCACCTGAGTCCTCATTGATCATCCCCTGGTTCTATATGATCTGTTGAAGCTGCCATAGCATTAGCAGGATAACCATCTGAAAATCTTTTGACTACCTCTATTAGTGCATTAATTTTGTCTGCTTTCTTGCTAACTTGATGTGCCTTCTGGGCAGCAGAGAAGCCTTTACTATGCCTGCCCATCAAGAGAATCAGTTCCGAACCATGAGAGACTCACAGAATAGCAGCGCGAGTTGTTAGAAGTGACACGTTCTATCCAGACGCGTCATACACGCGTCCATTGAACGCGTGTCGGCAAATCCCGGGCAAGCATTTCTGGCCTGTGTGGCGTCAGGCGCATTTTTCTCGCTCGGTACCACTCCTTAAATCTCGGAATAAATGGAATAAATTGTTTCGATGGTATGAAAACACGTTCTCTGACCCCAATTTTCTATTTTATCCGTTCATCATACTGTAACTGTCATTTCTGGCCCTCCAGAGACCACAGTTCATGTGTTTCAGTAACTGGATGGAAAGGGGAGCTTACCTTGGTGGCGGGCACTCCCGATACCCCACTTCCACTGTATGTCGCGATTCTTTCTCGGGACGAGAACATGGCGAAGATGGCGGTGAATGAGCGCTCTCGACAGGTGACGTCAGTTCGATCGCTTTGTCCCCGGGACGCGTTCTCCTTTGTTGTCGTCCCTATTGTTGTCAGTTCAGATATAACCTGCTCGCCCTCGTTCGAGCACTACGTGACAGTCAACACCGTCACTCCATCTCTGCCGTGGTCAATTTTCCCGGAGCTTGTCCCCCGGGGTCTCGGGGTCTCTCCCCCGCTCGTGGGTCGACGTCGAACCAGTAATCACGCGCGCCTCTCCTCTGCTGTCGCGCTTGTCGTACCCCGCCGGGCGCTCACCATCTTCCGGAATTCTACGCGGGATCCTGGAAGCACGTGAGCGCCGAGTGGCCGATGGACTCTGGTGGGTAGGAGGTTCTGTATGTCTCTGGTTGCATATGCGGGGTCTCCATTGGTATGTCTGGCTGACACCCCCTCGA